TCCCCATATGGCCGTACCTTGGGGCGGAAGGTGAGGTTGGGTCTGCAGCCCCCTCCAGCCCCATACCAACCCCAGACCCCATATGACATGCCCCCATATGGCCATACTTTGGGTCAGAAGATGAAGCTGGGTCTGCAGCCCCCTCCAGCCCCACACCAACCCCAAACCCCATATGGCATGCCCCTATATGGCCGTACCTTGGGGCGGAAGGTGAGGCTGGGCGGCGTGGGCTCGTGCTGCGCCTTCTGCGTCCCCCAGGGGTGGTAGAGCTTGAAGCACTCGTTGCAGAAGCTGGACTTGCACTCGGTGCAGCCCTTGGTGGCCTCCAGCTGCGGCGCCTTGCAGAACTGGCACATGATGGCGGCGCTGATGTCGATGGTGTGGCGGTAGCGCTCCACCACGCGCTCCAGCGTGGGGTTGCGGAACAGCCCGGCCAGCCCGCGCTCGCCCAGCTCCACGTCGCGGCGGCACAGCGGGCACGGGAACGGCACCGACGGCGGCTGAGCCGCGCTGCGCTTGCGGCCGGGGTACGTGCCGAAGCCTGCGGGACGGGCGGGGGCAGGCGTGGTGTCAGGGGTGGGGTCACATGTGGCGTCACGCGTGGTCACATGTGGCGTCACGCGTGGTCACATGTGGCGTCACGCGTGGTCACATGTGGTGTCACGCGTGGTCACACGCGGCGTCACGCGTGGCGTAACAAGTGGTGACACATGGCGTCACGCGTGGTCACACGTGATGTCACGCGTGGTCACATATGGCATCGCATGTGGCATCAAGCATGGCGTCACGGGTGGTCACATGTGGCGTCACGCGTGGTGTCACACGTGGTCACACGTGGCATCACATGTGGCATCATGCATGGTGTCACACGTGGTCACACATGGCATCACACATGGTGCCAGGCACGGTGTCAGGCATGGTCACATGTGGCGTCACGCGTGGTCACATGTGGCGTCATGCGTGGTGTCAGGTGTGGTGTCAGGCGTGGTCACATGTGGCATCACGCGTGGTCACACGCGGCGTCACGCGTGGCGTAACAAGTGGTGACAGGTGGCGTCACGCGTGGTCACACGTGGCATCACGTGTGGCATCAAGCATGGCGTCACGCATGGTCACACATGGTGTCACACATGGCATCATGCACGGCGTAACAAGTGGTGACACATGGCGTCACGCGTGTTCACACGTGGTGTCACGCGTGGTGTCAGGCGTGGTGTCACGCGTGGTCACATGTGGTGTCACGCATGGTCACACGTGGCGTCACACGTGGTGTCAGGCGTGGTGTCACACGTGGTGTCAGGCATGGTCACACGCGGCGTCATGCGTGGCGTAACAAGTGGTGACAGGTGGCGTCACGCGTGGTCACACGTGGTGTCACGCGTGGTCACATATGGCATCACGTGTGGCATCAAGCATGGCGTCACGGGTGGTCACACGCGGCGTCACGCGTGGCGTAACAAGTGATGACACATGGTGTCACGCATAGTCACATGTGGCGTCACACATGGTCACACGTGGCGTCACACGTGGCCTCACACGTAGCATCAAGCATGTCATCACGCGTGGTGTCACACGTGGTCACACATGGCATCACATGTGGCATCAGGCATGGTGTCACACGTGGTCACACGCGGCGTCACGCGTGGCGTAACAAGTGGTGACAGGTGGCGTCACGCGTGGTCACACGTGGTGTCACGCGTGGTCACATATGGCATCACGTGTGGCATCAAGCATGGCGTCACAGGTGGTCACACATGGCGTCACGCGTGGTCACACATGGCGTCACGGCGTGTGGCATCATGCATGGAGTCACGGGTGGTCACACGCGGCGTCACGCATGGCATAACAAGTGGTGACACATGGCATCACGCGTGGCGTAACAAGTGGTGAGACATGGCGTCACGCGTGGTCACATGTGGTGTCACGCGTGGTGTCAGGCGTGGTGTCAGGCGTGGTCACATGTGGCGTCACGCATGGTCACACGCAGCATCACGCGTGGCGTAACAAGTGGTGACACGTGGCGTCACGCGTGGTCACACGTGGTGTCACGTGTGGTCACATGTGGCATCACGCGTGGTGTCAGGCATGGTGTCACACGTGGTGTCAGGCGTGGTGTCACACGTGGTGTCACACGTGGTCACACGTGGCGTCACACGTGGTGCCAGGCGTGGTGTCACACATGGTCACACGTGGCATCGCATGTGGCATCAAGCATGGCGTCACGCATGGTCACATGTGGTGTCACACGTGGCGTCACGCGTGGTGTCAGGCGTGGTGTCAGGGGTGGTCACATGTGGCGTCACGCATGGTTACATGTGCTGTCACGCATGGTCACACGTGGTGTCACGCATGGTGTCAGGCATGGTGTCACACGTGGTGTCACACGTGGTCACACGTGGCATCATGCATGGTGTCACACGTGGTCACACGCGGCGTCACGCGTGGCATAACAAGTGGTGAGACATGGCGTCACGCGTGGTCACACGTGGTGTCACGCATGGTCACACGTGGCGTCACGCGTGGTGTCAGGCGTGGTGTCACACGTGGCCACACGTGGCATCGCATGTGGCATCAGGCATGGTGTCACACGTGGTCACACGTAGCATCACACGTGGTCACACATGGCGTTACGCGTGGCATAACAAGTGGTGACACATGGCGTCACGCGTGGGGTCACACTTGGCGTCACTGCTGTGCCAACCATGGCGTCACGCATGGCGTCACACGTGGCATCAAGCATGGCGTC